AATCGATACCTATTTCCCCGGTTGCATTTTGTGCTGAAATCGATATCTCAGAATTAGTTATTATTGCGTAAAGTTTTGATATAAAAGTTGTTAAAGGTTTGCGTTGTGTACTAGTTGACGTTACTCTATACATAAGATACCGATAACTCGCTATTCCTTTCCATTTCAAGCTTTATTCACATTGGGCGCAGTTTGGCGAGAGGGGGGGGATGCACTCTGCACTCTCGATATTTACCGTAGACCTGTTCAGTCATCATGTACAGACTTGTGAAATCTTGTGAAGCCACGAAAAGATACCAGCTCAAGTTTGCAAAAACCATCTGTCGACTCTTGTAACGAGTGCTGTCAACTCTGTGAGACGGTGAAGAGGATCGTAATTCGCCGCACCGCCACGCGCGGCGTTTTCATAACTCGTTTTAACCTGTCGAATGAAGCACCGGACTTCATGTAGACCCCGTCATCGTAGACACTCATTACTGTTTTCGGTCCTTAATTGCATGTTGTCGCCATCTACTGCCTGAAACCATCGTCCTTTGCGGGCGGGACGTCGCACGCGACGCCCAGCAGCGCGGCAAATTACGATCCTCTTGTCACATACCCGTCAACTCTTGTAAACTCATGATGAAACCCATTTTATGATCTTACAAGAGTTGACAGATTTCACCATGGTGGTTCGATGAGCTTGCTCCTGCTTTACAAGAGCACAAGTTTTATCAGAGTGAGATTGTGAACCTGAAATGGCGAAACAGCAAATAGGCGAAATACCCCCTCCCTGTCGCTGAGCTGTACATTCACAATGAACGCAATACGCCTGGCTATTCAGCTTTTTTCGCTGTTTCATCTTCGCTTGAATTTATAGGATACGCTGATTCAAAAGCCACTACGATTCTGAATGGAAGTAGAATGCGTGCCGCATCCCACAAAGGGATTGATCAACGGCGAAGACTTTATCCTTTATCCTTTAAGTGGGCGAAATAGCAAAAGTGCGAAAAGTCACATGAGCGATCACAAAACGGGTTTTTTTGAATTATTTGCGCGCTGAACTGGGCTGTGTGTTGGGACGGGGCTTCAAAAGTTTGGTGCAGTTGTTCAATCGAGGTGAGGCCTAATGTGAGGGATGTGTCCATTTTGGTTTGGCAAGTGTCCAATGGTTTTGAAAGGTGTCTGATTTGATTTGAAAAGTGATTTGAAATGTGAAAATGAAAAGGTCGTAATACTGTACGATTTGATTCTAAATTGTTCTAACCCATTTTAAAGTGTCCTATTCAAGAAATGGTACATTTTAGGCTTCTGAGGTGGAAGTAATAGATAACTCATCGTCAGTTGGCTACATCTTCATCTACAATCGAGTAGAAGATTCTCAACAGAGGTTGGAATAGTCAACCGCAGTCTAGTAAAAGGATTCTGTTGCTGATTTAGGGTAGTTGGCGCATAAGTTTCAACTGAATCTCTTTTGTTAGAGCTTATCAATTGCCGCAATTCTTTATGGTAATTTTCTCTATATGCTTATGAGTTCAATTTTGTTTACACTTTTATTTTTTTGTTTCATTTAACGGACTCCTCACAATTTCACTATCCGATCATTTGTATATTTATTTGTATGTAAATATAGCCTCATATGCATTGCCGGTGTGACTCTGTATGTGCATGCCCTAGGTTCGAATCTTGGTCTCTTTATCCTTGTTGTTCTTTATACTTGGAATCATTCTTTATTGGGGGCATTCTACATTAAGTCGTATTCCTGCATCTCACCGTGTCGATTGGACCTACCTCATTTTAGTTGTTTCCAATCGATACCTATTTCCCCGGTTGCATTTTGTGCTGAAATCGATATCTCAGAATTAGTTATTATTGCGTAAAGTTTTGATATAAAAGTTGTTAAAGGTTTGCGTTGTGTACTAGTTGACGTTACTCTATACATAAGATACCGATAACTCGCTATTCCTTTCCATTTCAAGCTTTATTCACATTGGGCGCAGTTTGGCGAGAGGGGGGGGGGATGCACTCTGCACTCTCGATATTTACCGTAGACCTGTTCAGTCATCATGTACAGACTTGTGAAATCTTGTGAAGCCACGAAAAGATACCAGCTCAAGTTTGCAAAAACCATCTGTCGTCTCTTGTAACGAGTGCTGTCAACTCTGTGAGACGGTGAAGAGGATCGTAATTCGCCACGCGCGGCGTTTTCATAACTCGTTTTAACCTGTCGAATGGAGCACCGGACTTCATGTAGACCCCGTCATCGTAGACACTCATTACTGTTTTCGGTCCTTAATTGCATGTTGTCGCCATCTACTGCCTGAAACCATCGTCCTTTGCGGGCGGGACGTCGCACGCGACGCCCAGCAGCGCGGCAAATTACGATCCTCTTGTCACATACCCGTCAACTCTTGTAAACTCATGATGAAACCCATTTTATGATCTTACAAGAGTTGACAGATTTCACCATGGTG